CGTAGTCGTACTCCTGGCAAGCCTGTGTCAGAAGCCTGTGGGAGGGAGTAAAGAAGGAGTCAGCAGGAGTTCCAGTAAGACTGAGTAGGGTTTGAGTTGGCGTTACTAAACTGAGCAAGTCTTAGGTTAGTGTTACAGATCTGAGGAAGTTTTGAGATTAGTGTTTGAAGACTGAGCAGGTTATGAGTTTAAAAATGAGCAGATTCTGAGTTAGATTTAGGAGGTAACGAGTTAGATTGAAGAGAATTAACAAGTTCAAAAGAATAAAAAGGCACAATACAGTGACTGGATCAATACACAGATATGCCGGATGATGTTTCGGTCCGACTTAAACCATCGTCGTCATAAGTTTCAGTCTCGTAAGTGCGGGTTATTTGTAAACATATTCTAAGTTAATATAAAGGGAGTTAATTGACAGTTGTGGATAGTAGGGCGAGTTAGCAGGTTGTAGAGAAGACAGGGAATCTAAGAGTCTGTGGTAGGAGAGGGATCCAGGAAGCTGTGAGGAAAATCATGAAGAGGAGGGGAGAGGAGAGGATATAATACGCTGAAATAAGGAAATAAGATGTGAGAGACATCAAAGAGTTAGTGATATATGAGAGAGAGAGGCGAATGATAAGAGGCTGTAGGGTTAAGGATAAATAAGTTAAGGATGTCTACGATAGGTAAGATATGGAAACAGAATGAGATAAAGTTACGTAAAAGACGGGAAAATAAGGAAGAAAAACATAAATTAAGGTGTAAAAAATGGTAGATAAGAATAACTACAATAATATAACAATTAATGTGGTGAGGCAAGGCAACGGTGAAGCATGTTTAACTAAGGTGAGGTGAGATACAATTATGATTAAGAAAGGTTCAATATACAAAGTACAGTGAGGTACAAGAAGAGAAATCAAGGAAAGGAAGGTAAGGTGTGAAAAACGAGGTCAAGGTCATGTCAAGTTGGAGGGTAGACTCACCCGGCCCACTGCTTGCAGCCCTTCACCGGCCTAGCTAGCCGGTAACACTGAAAAAGACCTGTCGAGAAGTAGGCTGATCCAACTTCCTTGGCCTCGCCACTGCCCACGCCAGTCAGACACTTTCTGAAGCTCTCGTTACAGTCGCAGTGCGTCCTGAGGTGTGCGATGGAGGGGAAGAAAAGGAAGAGAACAGTCTAATTAAACATTATTGGTGAGGATCATGAAATCGTAATAACACGATTGCAAACAAACTACGGAATGGTGGGGGTTTAAAAACATGGTGAGTGTATCCTAAACCTCCAGTCTAGTGCATAAGCCACTTGGCCAACTGGATACAATAAGAATCACCCAACTGGCCAAGTGGCTTACGCACTACACTGGAGTTTTAGAACTTATTTGCCATGGGCTCAAAAACCACCCGTTCCGTGTTTTGAGTAAGTAAGTAAGTAAGTAAGTAAGTAAATTTATTCAGGTATACACAATACAGTTACATAGAATTATCATACATAGCAGCATATGTGTAGAGAACCTAGGATAACCCAAAAAAGTCAGAGTATTGGTCAGGACATCGCACGTAAGCCTAGCTAGCTACTGAAAGTAATGATACGTGATGACAAAAACAAATTACTGAGCACGTCTTTATAGTGACAACGTTTCGCTCTGTGCAGAGCTTTACTTTATAAAGCTCTACACAAAGGAGATTCTTCCCTCAGCCTGACTGACTGCGAGAACAGTTCATCATTCTAAGCATTAGCTGACGGAGGATCGAGCCTCCACTATTCCTTGCGCTGAATGACCCCTAAACCCTGGCAATAATGTGACCTGACACCATATTATATTTGACCTCACTACAGCTGACCTCACTACAGCTAACCTTACTACAGCTAACCTTACTACATCTGACCTCACTACATCTGACCTCAGTACATCTGACCTCACTACATCTGACCTCACTACATCTGACCTCACTACATCTGACCTCACTACATCTGACCTCACTACATCTGACCTTACTACATCTGACCTCACTACATCTGACCTCACTACATCTGACCTCACTACATCTGACCTTACTACATCTGACCTCACTACATCTGACCTCACTACATCTGACCTCACTACATCTGACCTCACTACAGCTGACCTCACTACAGCTAACCTTACTACATCTGACCTCACTACATCCTGACCTCACTACATCTGATCTCACTACATCTGATCTCACTACATCTGACCTCACTACATCTGACCTCACTACATCTGACCTCACTAATCTGACCTCACTACAGCTGACTCATCACTACAGCTAACCTTACTACATCTGACCTCACTACATCTGACCTTACTACATCTGACCTCACTACATCTGACCTCACTACATCTGACCTCACTACATCTGACCTCACTACAGCTGACCTCACTACAGCTAACCTTACTACATCTGACCTCACTACATCTGACCTCACTACATCTGATCTCACTACATCTGATCTCACTACATCTGACCTCACTACATCTGACCTCACTACATCTGACCTCACTACATCTGACCTCACTACAGCTGACCTCACTACAGCTAACCTTACTACATCTGACCTCACTACATCTGACCTTACTACATCTGACCTCACTACATCTGACCTCACTACATCTGACCTCACTACATCTGACCTCACTACAGCTGACCTCACTACAGCTAACCTTACTACATCTGACCTCACTACATCTGACCTTACTACATCTGACCTCACTACATCTGACCTCACTACATCTGACCTCACTACATCTGACCTCACTACAGCTGACTTTTCTTCCACTACATATTCATTAACCGTCACAAAGTAGGATGAGGCCTTTCCTGGAGTATACCTGGAGTATACCTGGAGTGTACCTGGAGTATACCTGGAGTATACCTGGAGTGTACCTGGAGTATACCTGGAGTATACCTGGAGAGTACCTGGAGTATACCTGGAGTGTACCTGAAGTATACCTGGAGTGTACCTGGAGTATACCTGGAGTATACCTGGAGTGTACCTGGAGTATACCTGGAGTGTACCTGGAGTATACCTGGAGTGTACCTGGAGTATACCTGGAGTATACCTGGAGTATACCTGGAGTGTACCTGGAGTGTACCTGAAGTATACCTGAAGTATACCTGGAGTGTACCTGAAGTATACCTGGATTGTACCTGAAGTATACCTGGAGTATACCTTGAGTGTACCTGAAGTATACCTGGAGTGTACCTGAAGTATACCTGGAGTGTACCTAAAGTATACCTGGAGTATACCTTGAGTGTACCTGAAGTATACCTGGAGTGTACCTGAAGCATACCTGGAGTGTACCTGAAGTATACCTGGAGTGTACCTGAAGTATACCTGGAGTGTACCTAAAGTATACCTGGAGTGTACCTGAAGTATACCTGGAGTGTACCTGAAGTATACCTGGAGTGTACCTGAAGTATACCTGGAGTGTACCTGAAGTATACCTGGAGTGTACCTGAAGTATACCTTGAGTGTACCTGAAGTATACCTGGAGTGTACCTGAAGTATACCTGGAGTGTACCTAAAGTATACCTGGAGTATACCTTGAGTGTACCTGAAGTATACCTGGAGTGTACCTGAAGTATACCTGGAGTGTACCTGAAGTATACCTGGAGTGTACCTGAAGTATACCTGGAGTGTACCTAAAGTATACCTGGAGTGTACCTGAAGTATACCTGGAGTGTACCTGAAGTATACCTGGAGTGTACCTGAAGTATACCTGGAGTGTACCTGGAGTGTACCTAAAGTATACCTAGAGTATACCTTGAGTGTACCTGAAGTATACCTGGAGTGTACCTGAAGTATACCTGAAGTATACCTGAAGTATACCTGGAGTGTACCTAAAGTATACCTGGAGTGTACCTGAAGTATACCTGGATTGTACCTGAAGTATACCTGGAGTGTACCTGAAGTATACCTGGAGTGTACCTAAAGTATACCTGGAGTATACCTGGAGTGTACCTGAAGTATACCTGGAGTATACCTGGAGTGTACCTGAAGTATACCTGGAGTAAAGTATACCTGGAGTATACCTGGAGTGTACCTGAAGTATACCTGGAGTGTACCTGAAGTATACCTGGAGTATACCTGAAGTATACCTGGAGTATACCCGGAGTGTACCTGAAGTATACCTGGAGTATACCTGGAGTGTACCTGAAGTATACCTGGAGTATACCTGGCGTGTACCTGAAGTATACCTGGAGTATACCTGGAGTGTACCTGAAGTATACCTGGAGTATACCCGGAGAGGGTTCCGGGAGTCAAAGCCCCCGCAGCCCGGTCCATGACCAGGCCTCGCGGTGGATCAGGGCCTAATCAACCAGGCTGTTACTGCTGGCCGCACGCAAACCGACATACGAACCTTAGCCTGGCTGGTCAGGGGTCAGGAACCGACTTTAGGTGCCTGTCCCAGTCCCCTCTTGAAGACAGCCAGGGGTCTATTGATAATCCCCCCTTATGTATGCTGGGAGGCAACTGAACAATCTTGGGCCCCTGACACTTATTATGTTGTCTCTCACCGTACTTATAGCGCCCCTGCTTTTCATTGGGGTGGGGGGAGGGATGTTGCACCACTGCCTAGTCTTGCTTTCGTAGGAAGTGATTTCCGTGTGCGGAGTTGGGACTGATCCTAGTCCAAGTGTATATTATCATGTATCTTTCTCGACTGCGTTCCAAGGAGTACAGGTCAAGGTACTTCAACCGTTCCTAGTAATATAGGAGGTTTAATGTATTTATATGTGCAATGAAAAATCCCTGTATATTCAGGTCTGCAATATCGCCTGCCTTGAAAGAGGCCGTTAGTGTACAGCAATATCTCAGCCTAGAAAGAACAAGAGATTTGAAGAGAATCATCATTGGGGTAGCATTCCTAGTTCTGAAAATACTCATTATCCATCCTATCATTTTCCTAGCAGATGTGGTAGAGACATTGTTGTTGAAAATGAGATTCTTTGACATTACCACTCCCAGGTCCTTCACATTAGTTTTTCGCTCTATTGTGTCGTTTGAATGTATTTTATACTCCGATCCAGTTTTTATTTCCTCGAGTTTTTCATAGCGGAGTAATTGAAATTTGTCTTAATTGAACTTCATATAAAGACTTGGTTAATGTCTGCTTGGAGATCTGCAGTGTACTGAATGGATGACACTGTCATGCAAATTCTGGCATCGTCAGCAAAGACACGGTGCTGTGGCTTACATCTCTGTCTAGGTTAGATATGAGGATAGGGAAAGGGATGGGAGGGAGTACTGTACCTTCTGGAATAGATCTCTTCACTGACTTCACTCTGTTTACTATTAGTCTTTGTGTTCTATTTGTTAGGAGGTTATAGATCCATCTACCCACTTTTCCTGTTATTCCTTTATCACGCATTTTGTGTGTTGTTACACCATGATCGCACTTGTTGAAGGCTTTCGCAATGTCTGTGTATACTACATCTGCATTTTGTTTGTCTTCCAGAGCATCCAAGACCATGTCATAGCGGTTCAGAAGTTATGAGAGGCAGGAGCGACCTGCTCTAAACCCATGCTGCCCTGGGTTGTGCAATTGTTGGGTATCCAAGTGGTTGGCGACCCTGCTTCTTAGAACCCTTTCAAAGATTTTTAAGATCTGGGACGTTAGTGCTTTCGGTCTGTAATTCTTTGCAATACTTTACTGCCCCCTTAGTGAAGTGGGGCTATGTCTGTTATTTTTAGTGACAGTGGGATGACCCCTGTGTCTATACTTCCTCTCCATAGAATATTTAAAGGATGTGAAATGGGTTTCTTGCAGTTCTTGATGAACATGGAGTTCCACGAGTCTGGGCCTGGGACAGAGTGCACAGGCATGTCATTCATTGTTTTTCAAAGTCCTGTGGTGTTAGGATTACATCAGAAATTCTCGAATTAACCATGATTAACGTCTGATTAACGTCTCACTAAACGCTTAGTCATATTGGGATTTCAGTATCTCACTTAATTCTTTGCTGCCATCTGTGTAAGTCCCGTTTCGTTTAAGCAGGGTCCCAATACTGGATGTTGTTTTTGCCCTAGATTTGGCGAAAGTAAAAAGAATATATTTTTCCTTTTCAATTTCATTCATGGTTTTAAGCTCTTCCTCTGTTTCTTGGCTCCTGTATGATTCCTTAAGCTTAGTTCGATATCTTTTATTTCTTTGGACAGTGCCTCCTTCCGCATTTCAGATCGACTGGCTCCTTTGAGCAGCTCTTTGATTCTTCGCCTTCGCCTGTAGAGGGAGCGTCTCTCTCTCCTAGTTTACAGCTCGTCTTTTGTCTTAGGGGAATGTGCTTTAAGCATACCTCAAGTGCCACAGGGTTTGCCTTTATCTCTTTGCTATCCAATTATAAGCTGCATAGTCATATTTTATTGAATCTGTATTAATTACAAAGAGACGAGAGTAGTTTGAAACACTTATAACAAGACCAAGCGCTCAGGCCACCACTACTTCACGAAGGGGCATAATATAAAGTGTTCCAGTAATCAGAGCGACCCAGCTGAGGATGGTGTGGTGTAGGTTTATAAGCTGGGGTGATGTGGTGGAGGTATCCTGGGTAAACAGGGGTTGTTTTGTGTAGTCTGTGTGGGTAAGCTGGGGTAGTGTGGTGTAGATTTATGGGTAAGCAGGGGCTGTGTGGTGTAGTCAGTTTGGGTAAGTTGGCGTGAAGAGCGACTTTTGGGCAAGTCTCCTTACATCTGCTGTCTGTCTATTTAGCGGTAAATAGCTAGTAGAAATATACTTAATTGATACAAGGTTTCACCACTAGTTTTTTTATTATAAATAACAAAGTCAGCAGTATAATAAAAAATAAAGTGTAGACCAGGTGAGGTCAGAGCGTTATAATTTGTGTTTCCTTTGCTAATCCAAAATGATGTGTAATTGGTTTTGATACAGAGTACGTTCCTCTCTTTTGATCTATGGTGTCGGCGAGGTAATGTCTCGATGCAAATAAAATAAAAAAAAATGTCCCGATGCGCATCCTCTTGAACTTGTCGTTTTCTTGGTAAATAAGATGCACCTGGAGTATACCTGGAAAGTGTTCCGGGGATCAAAACCCCCCCACGGCCAGGTCCATGACCAGGCGGTAGTTAAAAGATTACAGAGGCAAATAATAGATTTACAGGGTTCAAGTGTGAGCTAACAGTTTATGAGGTGGGAATGTTAGGTGAGGTTATTACCCATGTATTGTGTGTCATCTACTGTGTGCTTACTTGTGTTCCTGTAATCTAGTGTTCTCCATTCCGTATAATGCAGATTCCAAAGTTGATGACACACTGTAGCGTACAATGATTCTTAAATACTTTATGATGACGAGTTGAACAACTATTTCTTGCAGGCATTCTACATTCTGTGATTCTTTGTAGTAACCCTCCTCCCTTCTGTAGCAACCCTCTTCCCTTCTGTAGCAACCCTCCTGCCTTCTGTAGCAACCCTCTTCCCTTCTGTAGCAACCCTCTTCTCTTCTGTAGCAACCCTCTTCCCTTCTGTAATAACCCTCCTGCCTTCTGTAGCAACCCTCCTGCCTTCTGTAGCAACCCTCTTCCCTTCTGTAGCAACCCTCCTCCCTTCTGTAGCAACCCTCTTCCCTTCTGTAGTAACCCTCCTCCCTTCTGTAGCAACCCTCCTGCCTTCTGTAGCAACCCTCTTCCCTTCTGTAGCAACCCTCCTCCTTTCTGTAGCAACCCTCTTCCCTTCTGTAGTAACCCTCCTCCCTTCTGTAGCAACCCTCCTCCCTCCTCCCTTCCAGTGGGCAACGGTAAACAATATGATGTTCAATGAGGACAAATTCCAACTACTCCGTTATGGAAAACTGGAGGAGATAATAACTAGAACAGAGTATACTACTGACTCCGGCCATACAATAGAGCGGAAAAATAATGTAAGGGACCTGGGAGTAGTAATGTCTGAGGATCTCACTTTCAAGGATCACAACAGTGCCACGATCGCACGTGTAAAGAAAATGATAGGATGGATAATGAGAACTTTCAAAACGAGAGATGCCAAGCCCATGATGATCCTTTTCAAATCACTTGCTCTCTCTAGGCTGGAATACTGTTGTACATTAACATCTCCATACAAAGCAGGTGAAATCGCAGATCTAGAGAGTGTACAGAGATCCTTTACTGCACGTATAAGTTCTGTCAAGCACCTTAACTACTGGGAACGCTTGGAAGCACTTGACTTGTACTCGTTGGAACGCAGGAGGGAGAGATATATCATAATCTACACTTGGAAAATCTTGGAAGGAATGGTCCCAAATCTGCACACAGAAATCACTCCCTACGAAAGTAAAAGACTGGGCAGGCGATGCAAAATGCCGCCAATAAAAAGTACCAATGGCGCCCCGCCATTGGTACACTAAGAGAAAACACCATAAGTGTCCGGGGCCCAAAACTGTTCAACAGCCTCCCATCAAGCATTAGGGGAATTGCCAATAAACCCCTGGCTGCCTTCAAGAGAGAGCTGGACAGATACCTAAAGTCAGTGCCGGATCAGCCGGGCTGTGGCTCGTACGTCGGACTGCGTGCGGCCAGCAGTAACAGCCTAGTTGATCAGGCCCTGATCCATCGGGAGGCCTGGTCATGGACCGGGCCGCGGGGGCGTTGATCCCCGGAATAACCTCCAGGTAACCTTCTGTAGCAACCCTCTTCCCTTCTGTAGTAACCCTCCTCCCTTCTGTAGCAACCCTCTTCTCTTCTGTAGTAACCCTCCTCCCTTCTGTAGCAACCCTCTTCCCTTCTGTAGCAACCCTCCTCCCTTCTGTAGCAACCCTCTTCCCTTCTGTAGCAACCCTCCTCCCTTCTGTAGCAACCCTCTTCCCTTCCGTAGCAACCCTCTTCCCTTCTGTAGCAACCCTCCTCCCTTCTGTAGCAACCCTCTTCCCTTCTGTAGCAACCCTCTTCCCTTCTGTAGCAACCCTCCCTTCTGTAGCAACCCTCCCTTCTGTAGCAACCCTCTTCCCTTCTGCATCTCCTTTTCCCTTGTCCGTCCTCTGCCTCTTCACTGTAGAATAATAAGAAAATATTATAACCTTTATATTATAATAATAAGGTAAAAGGACCCCAATGGAAATAAGTCACTCTGACTGACTTTTTTGGGTTATCCTAGGTTCTCTACACATATGTTGCTATGTATGATAATTCTATGTAACTGTATTTGTGTATACCTGAATAAACTTACTTACTTACTTACTTGCCTCTCCTGTTCCACTTCGCACTTGCTCCTGCCCGTCATTGCCCCCATCTGCTTACATGGTGAAGGGGAATTTTTACCTTCCTCTCAGCTCCTTACATGGTAAAACGGGAGTCATTTATCACCTATGTTGCTTACATGGTAAACGGGGAGTCGTTAGAGATGTTGTGACGGGTTTGACCGGGTTCAAGGTCGTCAGGACAGAGATCGTGGTCACGGCAGCAGGCGTCCACCTCCCGTAGCGGCCCCAGATCGTCTAGACCCTCTGCCACGTTGCCAGTCCCACACCACTTGGTTCCTGAAGGTGTGCACATACGGGGCAGTGAGCTTTATCTTAACCTATGAATTTTTTTATAGCATACAAATGACTGAAATAATGTATCTGCATTATAAACTAAAGTGTAAAGTTAGAGTTACACTGTTTATCGGTTTAATCTTTTTTTATTATCGCATAACCATCCTACGGGCGGTAGTTAAAAGATTAGAGGCAAATAATGGATTGACGGAGTTTAAGTGTTATTGTGAGCTGACAAGTGATGGAGGGAGACAACAAAAAAAAAAAAAAAAAAAAAAAGCCTTTTATCAATACAAGGTTTGACCTAAAAGAGGCTTGTATTAGGTACAGGAAGTATACTAAACCTCGATATATAATATATATATATATATATATTATATATAATATATATATATATATATATTAATATATATATAAATATATATATATATATAATATATATATATATATATATATATATATATATATATACGCGGAGGGCCGCGTACCCAGAATGCTGCAGGCATTTTCCCTCTGGATCGCAACACTGAGTATCTGAAAGAGGAAGCTGGTCACTCTGTGGTCCTTGGTTTCTATGATGAGTTTTTCACCCAGGTCTTTGAGTAACTTTAGAGCTCACTTGCCCCATGCTCCAAGGGTCTCCGACCCTATTGGGATTATTGGGATGAAGTTATAGCAAGGAGGAAGATCTTCATATTTGCAGGTCTTCTGGGTCTCCCTGTAACTGGTGGCCCTACCCTCTACAGCTTCAGAGTATGGGAAGTAAGATAAGATAAGATAAGATAAGATTTCGTTCGGATTTTTAACCCCGGAGGGTTAGCCACCCAGGATAACCCAAGAAAGTCAGTGCGTCATCGAGGACTGTCTAACTTATTTCCATTGGGGTCCTTAATCTTGTCCCCCAGGATGCGACCCACACCAGTCGACTAACACCCAGGTACCTATTTGCTGCTAGGTGAACAGGACAATAGGTGTAAGGAAACGTGTCGAAATGTTTCCACCCGCCGGGAATTGAACCCGGGCCCTCCGTGTGTGAAGCGGGAGCTTTAGCCACCAGGCCACCAGGCCAATGTGGGGGGACAGGTGTAGTCCCAGATAATCTGCTTACCATCTTTCCAGGGTATCATAGTGGCTCCATCAGGACACTTGACTTCCATCAGACCTCTGTACTTGGGGTTTTCGTTGAGCTGGGCAATGGGCTATGGCGAGGCTTCTCTTTATGATGTCGTTGACCTCCACATGTTTAGCATACTTCCCTTCTGATGTGTGACACACGAGAGCATGAAGTCCGAATTGATCAGCCGTCGCCCTGCCGCAAATACACCTATGTTCGGTGAGTATGGGGGCTGCTAGGCAAAGAGCAACACCAATCCTAATGGTCTATGGGTCGAGTCGCGTTCCCAGAAAGGAACTGAGAACAGCTAAAAGGAAATTCCTGAATGTGGTGCCTTTACCGGTAGGAGACGAGCTTTGTCCTTTCCTGAAGCATTGGTGAGCATTGTTGGCGATTTTTTCTATGAGCTGGTCAACTGGAGGAGTCTGCAAGGGTGTCCCACCGCATGACTACTTCAATGAACCTGGGGTCTTGAGCTCCTACTGCACCTCTCAAGCATTCGGGGACAATCCCCTTGACTAATCCACTGGAAGCCAAACACGAAGACAGAAATGCAAGTAAAGCTACCTGCGTTGCCTTGCGCACCCCTATATCTCCCAGTCGCACTGAGAGGGTTGCTTGATCCCATTGCTGATCTTCCAGTGGCAGATTCAGTGCGTTCTTAAAAATTGATCGCAGGAGTGAGTCATATTCGTTGAGTGTTGGGGTGTCAAAAGACGGGGCACATCTCAGGAAGTGAGTCTTGGCAGAGTAAGACACCTTGTGAGGAGATACAGGGCATCAAGATCTCTTATTCTCCCCTCCATTCTCTTCAGTTCATTCAGTTTGTCCTTGAAGACTGTGTCGATGGCTTGATAACCCAGCGGTGCTCCCAAGTGGTAGTAGAGACTTCAGGGAGGATTGTTTGCACCGCGTTGATTATTTTCTGGTTTGTTGTGATGATTTCACACTTGGAGGGATTGAGGATGAGTCACCAGTTGTAGGTCCTCTAGCAGGGACTCTTCAGTACCTGCCAGAATGCCATCATCCAGGTACCAGATGTTGAACTCGCTGCACAGACTGGAAGTTAGTTCTCTTATTGCCAAGCAGAAGAGAAGCGGAGTGAGTGGGTCACCCTGCTGAGCACCCTTTGATGAGGGAATTTCATGTTTGCCAAACAAAAGAACTGAGGGTTTGCTGTAGCCGGCTGAAATGAAGGGAAAAAGACTGGGGAACCGATCCCGAATGGCCAGCAAGACCACATCTCTTTTCACCATATTAAAAGCATTTCTAAAGTCAAGTTTGACTACGGCCTTGTCTTCTGGTAAGTCCCTGATGTAGGCCCTTGCTACATGAGCTGCGGCTTCACTGCCTTGAGAGACCCCAAAGCCCAGTTGGTGTGGCTGGGATAAACTGGCAGCTTCTAGGCGAATATTTCTTACTGCTGCTTTGACAACGAGACGGCGAAGAGTGTTACCAACAACAATGGGTCTGATTCCCCCATCCTTCTTCTCCAACGCACATAGTGAGGCTCTAAAAAAAAAAGGTTTAATTTCTTCTGGAATTCGCCCAGCCAGACAGTTGTTGACGATGGTTATTAACTCGGTGAGAATAATTGATGCAGATGTGCCGAGTACTGGATTTACCATTTCTTTGAGGTGTTGTGGTCGAATTCTAGTGTAACCTCCTGCAGATCCTGCAAGGCTTCCTGTCTTTATCCACTATGGCATCGCTCCTAGGCTAAGGGACTGATTACCTTCATTTTCTATTATTTTCTGTATATAATCCTGCGAGGATGAGGGACTTAACTCCTACACTCTTCCGTTTTTGTCGCTGTATTGTATTGCTGGATGGCGAAACGTCTGTAAAATATATTCAACTTGACGGTATTGCATGCCACTGATATGTTAACTTCTCTCCCTGCTCATCTCTTCGTTTTAAATGAATACTTACGATAATTAATTACAATCCTATGGCCCATTAGCAGGGGTTGGGGTGTTAGTGCGGCAGAGGAGACGTAGGGGACAATATTTGGCTCCTTTATTTTTGTATTTATTGAACAAAATTATGTGCACCAGCACCATCCCACATTATTATTATTATTATTATTATTATTATTATTATTATTATTATTATTATTATTATTATTATAAAGGGGAAGCGCTAAACCCGTAGGATTATACAGCACCATCCCACAGAATGGATTTCTTTCACCAAGTTACAAAATATGTCAGCCAGAGCTGACATATCATCAAGCATTCAAGTAAGGTTCACCAGCTGTCAGCTACAGGAGCCACCAGCTGTCAGCTACGGGAGCCTCAAGGTTTCGTCCCAGCAGAACTGCAGTAACTCTTAACTGGGAATTACCACCTCTCAGAACAGCCTATTTCACACCCAGGGAAAATGGAATTTATGAAGCTTAATCATAACAGAGCAAGGCATAAAAACCTCTAAGATCAAATAAAAATACTAAATTATATCTATAAAAAGTATAGATATACAGTACATATAGGAATATTATAAATTCTGTTGAAATAACTTCGCAAAAAAAAAAAAACACGTTGAATATCACAAAACAAACCACGTCACTTATGACAAGCAATCCAAGCTAAATCTGGGCTGACTCAAGACAAGTTTGGCAGGACTGAGTTGCATCACATTACCTTAATTTATCAAAGTGAGGTTAGATCGTCAAGCTAGTCTGGTGCTGCAAACTAAAACACTGTACTACGTTAACTCACAGAAATATATTCATATATCAGTGAGGAGGGATAACACAAAGTAATTAGGGGATTGATAAGGCAGACAGGGACAGGCTGTTTGAGAGGCGAGAAACTGGAACTCAGGGACACAGCTGGAAGTTAAAGACAGAAAGACCACAGAGATGTCAGGAAGTACTTCTTCAATCTCAGGGTGAAGAAGTGATGGGGACAGGCTCCATACACAGCTTTAAGAACAGTTACGATAGGACCAACGAGGCTAAGATGGAGTGAATCTGGCAAGTTGAGAGGCAAGGCTAGAAGCTCTCGACCCCTACAGCCACCTATAGGTGCGTACATACATACTGCTTATACAGAACTACATACTCACGTATATAAGGGGAGAAATGTTAGTAGTGTTACATACACATAAATCAGAGCAAATATTTCTGACTGGCACTTCAGCATGGCAATATATATACAACTGGAAGGTGGGGAGAGGAGGTCTGACGGAGGGGGATGTGGAGGAGGGAGGAGATACATGAAGAGGTGGAGGCGGAGGAGAGGAATTAGATAGAAAGGGAAGTGCGAATAGATATGAGTGGTAGGGAAGTGAGATGAGTGGACCTGGACCAGCACGTAATACTAACAAGATGAAGTGAGTGGACCTGGACCAGCACGTAATACTGACAAGATGAAGTGAGTGGACCTGGACCAGCACGTAATACTGACAAGATGAAGTGAGTGGACCTGGACCAGCACGTAATACTGACAAGATGAAGTGAGTGGACCTGGACCAGCACGTAATACTGACAAGATGAAGTGAGTGGACCTGGACCAGCACGTAATACTGACAAGATGAAGTGAGTGGACCTGGACCAGCACGTAATACTGACAAGATGACGTGAATACACTTCATAGTGTTTTTCAAATTCAGTTTATTCTCTATAAGGATTACAATACTGAGTTTACAGAATTTGGTTATTGTGTGGTTTACATGTAGTAAAATACTAATTACAGAGGGGGCCACTAGAACACCTAGCATGGCTAGGCATTTCGGGCAAACTTAGATTAGTTCTTAACTTTAAAATATTACAAATTATGAGGTAAGTTGGTATTATGGCTAAGTGAATAAATACTAGTTTGTGAGTTTAGCAATGTGAATGCTTTTGTTTTGGCACAATACATAGTTTCAGTATTGGAGTATCACAGGTTAACTTATATTTATTATGTTTATTAGCCACAACGTTTCGCTCACAGTTCATTAGGGTAACTGTGTGGGCGACAGTTTGTCGTTAATTACGGTAGTCACTGTATTTCAGTTCAGAGTGGAGCGTTGGGAATGTAAGTGGGGAATGTTGGGAATGTAAGTGGGGAATGTTGGGAATGTAAGTGGGGAATGTTGGGAATGTAAGTAGGGAATGTTGGGAATGTAAGTAGGGAATGTTGGGAATGTAAGTAGGGAATGTTGGGAATGTAAGTGGGGAATGGGGGTGGGGGATGGGAATCAAAGGTAAGAAGGCTTCACACAGTAACAATAATGCTGTCTTACCGGGATATATAATATGTGGGAAGTTGTCAGCGGGTGGTGGCTGGTGACGCTTGTCGTGTGATGCTCGACCGTAGCAAGCGGAGATGAGAGCCGTGAGTTCCGCAGCCTCCACCACCGCTACGGGACTCTCACTCGCTGCCAGCTCCCTCATTATCTCGTCCACGATACGTCTGTGAGAAACACCTGCTTGTGTACACCTGCTCTGTATTCACAAACCAGTTGTGTGCGTGTGTACTCCTGCGTACACCTGTGAACACCTGGTCTATGCACAATGGCTTATGTTAAGTGTATATATCAGTGTATATATCAGGTGTATATATGTCGGTTCTCTGAACCATTCATCAACAAATATCAGGTTTGTGTACGCCTGTATAACTAGAAGAATATCTAAAGTATACTTTCAGAGGTCAATGCCCCCCGCGGCCCGATCCCATACCAAGCCTTCCAGTGAATCAAGACTTAATCAACCAGGCTGTTCTTGCTGGTCACTTGCAGTCCAGCGAACAAACCACAGCCTGGCTGGAGAGAAAATGACTTTAGAAACTTATTAGTCCCCCTAATGAAGACAACAAGAGGTCAGGTGGGATTCTGAGATAAGGTGAATTGGGGCACTGAAGCAGATATTTCGTAAGAGTAAACAAAGTGCCAACTGAGTGGTTTACAGGCGCTGCATCATTATGAACTACCTTAAATGAAAGACTTTAAGTGTAGTCATTTGGGTCCAGAGAGAAGCCAGAGATTTTTAGTGCTTCTGATTTTGCCAGGAGGCCCTAATGTTATACTGGACGTACCCAGTTTTGCCAGGAGGCCCTAATGTTATACTGGACGTACCCAGTTTTGCCAGGAGGCCCTAATGTTATACCGGACGTACCCAGTTTTGCCAGGAGGCCCTAATGTTATACTGGACGTACCCAGTTTTGCCAGGAGGCCCTAATGTTATACTGGACATACCCAGTTTTGCCAGGAGGCCCTAATGTTATACCAGACGTACCCAGTTTTGCCAGGAGGCCCTAATGTTATACTGGACGTACCCAGTTTTGCCAGGAGGCCCTAATGTTATACTGGACATACCCAGTTTTGCCAGGAGGCTCTAATGTTATACCGGACGTACCCAGTTTTGCCAGGAGGCCCTAATGTTATACTGGACATACCCAGTTTTGCCAGGAGGCCCTAATGTTATACCAGACGTACCCAGTTTTGCCAGGAGGCCCTAATGTTATACCAGACGTACCCAGTTTTGCCAGGAGGCTCTAATGTTATACCGGACGTACCCAGTTTTGCCAGGAGGCCCTAATGTTATACCAGACGTACCCAGTTTTGCCAGGAGGCCCTAATGTTATACCGGACGTACCCAGTTTAAGACATCAACAATGCCCATAGCAGTTATACAACCGATGAATTATTGCACAACAAAGAAATATTTACAACCGAACAATTATGACTGTTAGACTTTTTGAGGGGCTTAAACAACATGAAACATATATAAGTTGTAATGCATACAGGAGGTGGCACCACGGTGGCACCACAGTGGCACCACGGTGGCACCACGGTGGCACCACAGTGGCACCACGGTGGCACCACAGTGGCACCACGGTGGCACCACGGCCACCGTCCTCCTTTCCTAGAGAAGGGCACTTGACCGGGATTTCGTCAGCAGCAACAAACATCAGAAATCGTTCCCGCTGCTAACCTGCCGTCTCCTCTTCGTCTTCTCATAATCCTTGCATAAAGCAACTTTAAATAGTTTCGTGCGTTTTGAGAGTAAATATGTATCAGACCACCTTACGAGGCGTGGTCATGACCGGGCCTCGGGGGCGCTGACCCCCGGAACACCCTCCAGGTAGGTAGATGTACACGAATTCAGAATATATTGATTCGGCTATACAACTTTTTTTTTTTATTCCTTCCCATCTGTTGAAACCATGGATACCTGGAGTATACCTGGAGTATACCTGAGGAATACCTGGAGAGAGTTTCGGGGATCAACGTCCCCGCGGCCCAGTTTGTGACCAGGCCTCGTGGTGGATCAGAGCCTGATCAACCGGTCTGTTGCTGCTGGCCGCACGCAAACCAACGTACGAACCACAGCCCGGCTGGTCAGGTACTGACTTTAGGTGCCTGTCCAGCGCCTTCTTGAAGACAGCCAGGGGGGTCTCTTTGAAATCCCCCCTTATGTATGCTGGGAGACAGTTGAACAGTCTTGGGCCCCTGACACTTATAGTGTTGTCTCTCAGTGTACTCGTGGCGCCCCTGCTTTCCACTGGGAGAATGTTGCATCTCCTGCCCAGTCTTTTGCTTTCGAAGGGAGTGATTTTTGTGTGCAAATTTGGAGACTAGGATTTTCCAAGTGTATATTATCTTGTCTTTCTCGCCTGCGTTCCAGGGAATACAAGTCAAGGGACTTCAACCGTTCCCAGTAATTTAGGTGCTTTATCGTACTTATGTGTGCCATGAAGGTTCTGTGTACATCTTCCAGGTGGATTACCTGGAGTTTACCTGGAGAGGGTTTCAGGGTCAACGCCCCCGTGGCCCGGTCTGAGACCAGGCCTCATGGTGTATTATATTTAACAGTTTCGAGGCTCGAGCCTGGGAAGCCTGGGGAACCTGGGTAACCTAAGGAGCCTAGGGAACCTGGGAAACCTGGGGGGCCTGGGGGAGCCTGGGGAATCTGGGGAACCTAGAGAGCCTGGGGAACCTGGGAAACCTAGAGAGCCTGGGGGAGCCTAGGGAGCCTGGGGAACCTAGGGAGCCTGGGTAGCCTGGGGGAGCCTGGGGGAGCCTAGGGAACCTGGGGGAGTCTGGGGGAGCCTGGGGAGCTTGAGGAACCCTAACGTTCTCGTCCTCATCACCACCATCAATCACCCAGGGTAAACATCTTTTAAAAGTTTGTTTACTAATACTGCGACAGTCTTCAGACATATTAAGAGATAAGATTTTGTTTAGATTGTTAACCCGGAGGGTTAGCCACCCAGGATAACCCAGAGTGGGGAGGGTTAGCCACCCAGGATAACCCAGAGTGGGGAGGGTTTGCCACACAGGATAACCCAGAGTGGGGAGGGTTAGCCACCCAGGATAACCCAGAGTGGGGAGGGTTAGCAACCCAGGATAACCCAGAGTGGGGAGGGTTAGCCACCCAGGATAACCCAGAGTGGGCGAGGGTTATCCACCAGGATAACCAGAGTGGGGAGGGTTAGCAACCCAGGATAACCCAGAGTGGGGAGGGTTAGCCACCCAGGATAACCCAGAGTGGGGAGGGTTAGCCACCCAGGATAACCCAGAGTGGGGAGGGTTAGCAACCCAGGATAACCCAGAGTGGGGAGGGTTAGCAACCCAGGATAACCCAGAGTGGGGAGGGTTAGCCACCCAGGATAACCCAGAGTGGGGAGGGTTAGCAACCCAGGATAACCCAGAGTGGGGGAGGGTTAGCTACCCAGGATAACCCAGAGTGGGGAGGGTTAGCCACCCAGGATAACCCAGAGTGGGGAGGGTTAGCCACCCAGGATAACCCAGAGTGGGGAGGGTTAGCTACCCAGGATAACCCAGAGTGGGGAGGGTTAGCCACCCAGGATAACCCAGAGTGGGGAGGGTTAGCTACCCAGGATAACCAGAGTGGGGAGGGTTAGCCACCCAGGATCCCAGATGGGAGGTGCCACCAGGATAACCCAGAGTGGGGAGGGTTAGCCACAGATACGAGTGGGAGGTTAGCAACCAGGATAACCAGAGTGGGGAGGGTTGCAACCCAGATAACCCAGAGCGGGGAGGGTTAGCCACAGTAACCCAGGTGGAGAGGGTTCACCCAGGATACAAGTGGAGGTAGCAGATAACAGAGTGGGGAGGTTGCACAGATAACAGGTGGGGAGGGTTCCCAGGGTAACGATGGGGTTAGCAAGGTAAAGAGTGGGGGGGTTAGCACCCGTAACCCGAGTGGGAGGGTAGCTACAGATAACCCAGAGTGGGGAGGTTAGCCACCCAGGATAACCCAGAGTTGGGAGGGTTAGCCACCCAGGATAACCCAGAGTGGGGAGGGTTAGCACCAGGATAACCCAGAGTGGAGAGGGTTAGCCACCAAGGATAACCCAGAGTGGGGAGGGTTAGCCACCCAGGATACCCAGAGTGGGGAGGGTTAAGCCACCCAGGATAACCCAGAGTGGGGAGGGTTAGCTACCCAGGATAACCCAGAGTGGGGAGGGTTAGCACCCAGGATAACCCAGAGGGGGAGGGTTAGCTACCCAGGATAACCCAGAGTGGGGAGGGTTAGCCACCCAGGATAACCCAGAGTGGGGAGGGTTAGCCACCCAGGATAACCCAGAGTGGGGAGGGTTAGCCACCCAGGATTACCCAGAGTGGGGAGGGTTAGCACCCAGGATAACCAGAGTGGGGGGGTTAGCCACCCAGGATAACCCAGAGTGGGGAGGGTTAGCCACTCAGGATAACCCAGAGTGGAGAGGGTTAGCCACCCAGGATAACCCAGAGTGGGGAGGGTTAGCCACCCAGGATAACCCAGAGTGGGGAGGGTTAGCAACCCAGGATAACCCAGAGTGGGGAGGGCTAGCAACCCAGGATAACCCAGAGTGGGGAGGGTTAGCCACCCAGGATAACCCAGAGTGGAGAGGGTTAGCCACCCAGGATAACCCAGAGTGGGGAGGGTTAGCCACCCAGGATAACCCAGAGTGGGGAGGGTTAGCAACCCAGGATAACCCAGAGTGGGGAGGGTTAGCCACCAGGATAACCCAGAGTGGGAGAGGGTTAGCCACCCAGGATAACCCAGAGTGGGGAGGGTTAGCCACCCAGGATAACCCAGAGTGGGGAGGGTTAGCCACCCAGGATAACCCAGAGTTGGGAGGGTTAGCAACCCAGGATAACCCAGAGTGGGGAGGGTTAGCCACCCAGGATAACCCAGAGTGGGGAGGGTTAGCCACCCAGGATAACCCAGAGTGGGGAGGGTTAGCCACCAGGATAACCCAGAGTGGGGAGGGTTAGCCACCCAGGATAACCCAGAGTGGGGAGGGTTAGCCACTCAGGATAACCCAGAGTGGGGAGGGTTAGCCACCCAGGATAACCCAGAGTGGGGAGGGTTAGCCACCCAGGATAACCCAGAGTGGGGAGGGTTAGCAACACAGGATAACCCAGAGTGGGGAGGGTTAGCAACCCAGGATAACCCAGAGTGGGG